GGAGGGAGGGGCGAGAACCCAGCCAAAGCCCCCCCCCGGCACTCCTTCCTCCTAGAATTCGCACGGCCCTGTTAGCCTGTTGCTGGAAACGAGGATCATCATCATCATCATCATCATCATCATCATGTATCTGCTAATATGATAGCAGGCAATGCTTTTGTGGTTTTGCCTATTTGGACTGTGTTTCCTATTTTCGGATATTTACAGAAGACGTATGTAAAACAAGAGGTGCAGATTTGTGAGTTTTTCTTTTTTCTTAACGACAACTCCCAGAATTCATTTTTGCGGCCCGAGGAATTCTGGGTGTTGTAGTCCAAAAGCGCAAATCTAATGCACTCTTAATCATTATAAGAATACTTTTGGAAGAGGTAGCCGTGTTAGTCCGTGCATATCGGCAAAATCCAAACAAACACAACAAAACGAAGAAGAATAAGAACGGGACTGGTTTTGCCTATTTGGACTGTGTTTCCTATTTTCGGATATTTACAGAAGAAGTATGTAAAATAAGAGGTGCAGATTTGTGAGGGTTTGTTTTTTTTTGGCTGGCGTTTATTTATTTAACTTATATGCCGCCTACGCTACCCAAAGGTCTCTGGGCGGCTTACAACATTTAAAATACAATAAAAAGATAAAATAATTAAAATTTTGTTATCTTTGAGGCTCCACAAGTTTCCCAAACCTAGCATTTTTTTTCTTTCAATTCTTTGCTTGAAAGATAATTTTAAAAATTCATCTTTTCCTTCCTTTTTTTTTAATCCAGAGTCTTGCCCCAAACAGCCTTGCCTGCAGCAACTCAAGGGTTAATGGAAGCCGCCAAAGCGGCCTCGCGTTGGGCTCTGGGGTTGGCCGTAGCGGCGGACGTGACGTAAAAACCATAGAGCGAAGTCAGGAGGGACCAAAGAACGCGAGGGCGACGGGTGCCCCGCTGGGCCAAGCTACCCTCGTCCGCCTTGTTTTTCTGGGTGCGGGGCTTAAAAGGGGGGCAGCAATGCCACGCTATGCCCAGCTAGTTATGGGGCCCGCGGGGAGTGGAAAGGTGAGTTGTGGGGGGGCATGTGTGACATAAATTCGAGATTAAATTAGGGAAAGACAGTGGCTCCTGATGAACTTGACTCGTATTGTAGTAGCGTGCCGTTCCGCAGGTCCAGAGACTCGACTATTATACTGTATAGGAGCATAATGTTGTACAGTCCCCCCCCATTCATTTGCTGTTTGTTGTTGTTGTTGTCATCTTTTAATGACGTTAACCACCGTTGTATCTTCACTGTTTTCAACTTTAAATGCTGTATCGTCTTTCATTATCCTTGGGACCTTTCCAAGGAGGAAGGTGGGGTAAAAAAAATATTTCAAATAAATAAACATTTTTGCCATTGTGGTCTTCGCCCTCTTTAGTGGCAGATTTATTTGCGAAGAGGCGGAGGGTGGCTTACAAAATAACAGCCGAACCAATAGAAGGAGCAAAAATAGTGACTGGAAAACTACCAATCCTCCTCCTCTTGTACTTTAATAATTAAAAGACTAGGTGAAATATTTTTTAAAGACTCAGCCAGATGTCAAAAAGTAGCAAAATATGAACTGGGGTCTCAGCGACTCTGCGGGGGAATGCCTCTTTCTTTGTTTTTAACGCCGTGACGTTTGGATTCCAGAGCACGTACTGCGCCACGATGCTCCAGCACTGCGAAGTCCTGAACCGCTCGGTCCAGGTGGTGAACCTCGATCCAGCCGCAGAGCACTTCGACTACGACGTCATGGCAGGTGAACCTGGGAGAGGAGGTTTCAAAGGGGGGGGGGGTTAAAAACAAGCATCCACAACCCCCCCGCCCGTGGCCAGATGGGTTGGCCGTGACGGGCATCGTCATCCAGACCTTTACTGGATCCGGTAAGGCAAGGGGTGCTGGCTGTCAATCTTATTTCAAGCAAGCCCATCATTTCCTCTCTTTGCTCCAGATATCCGGGAGTTAATTGAAGTGGACGACGTCATGGAAGACGATTCTCTCAGGTTTGGCCCCAATGGTGGCTTGATTTTCTGCATGGAATACTTCACAAATAATTTGACTGGCTGGAAGAATGTCTTGGCCATGTGGAAGATGATTATATTCTTTTCGATTGCCCAGGTAAGGGAAGAACGTTGGTCGTTTTTATTAAAGTGTTGGAAATATCTTGGTTCTGTTGCACAGCAGCTCCTAGAGTTCCAGTCAGGGATGGGGCAGGGGTGTGTGGGTGTGATCCAATTCAGAGACTGAAAGTGTTATTTTTTCAGAATCTCCCAGCTTCTGTGGTCACTGGGCGTGCTGATTTGCAACGTTCTGGGAGTAATAATCCAAAATACTGATTTTTCCAAACTTGAGTTTCTCAAACACTGCCAGAGAGTTTCAGGCTGAGCTCTGCGTTGTCATTGTGTTTCGCTTCTCCTGTTGTGTTTGGACTCTGTAATCAAGCGTCCACCAAGAAAGTGGCCAGTGAGTATCCAGATGTTTTAAACAACTGCATTTGTGTCTGTTCTTTAGGTCAGATAGAACTCTACACCCATTTGCCAGTGATGAAACAATTCGTAGAACAGTTGCAGCAGTGGGAATTCCGCGTCTGTGGAGTCTTTCTCGTTGACTCTCAATTCATGGTGGAATCTTTTAAGGTATCTTATAATGACCAACCCTAGAGCAGCAACGCATCTAAGCAAGGTGTTGTTGCTGTTGTTAAATCCTTTCCAGCGTATCTACTTTGGATGTTATACTTTGAAAACGAAGTATGCCTTGATGGGGCCAGAAGGGGAAAAGTATTTCCTTTTTCAAATCTACAACATATTCGGGCACTTTGTACTCTGGACTCTGAAATTCCCTTGGGAACATACAGGTTGAAGCTCCCAAGATTTTGCTTGCTTGTCTGATTTATATCCTTCCCCCGCAAAATGGGACTCAAGAGGGCGCTCAACAAAATTATGAAGATAGAGCCCTCCCCTCAAAATGCGATAGTATTAAAACCTCAAAATGGTTAATCAGATTATAATAGGAAATCACAATTGGATTTAAAAGCAATGGAAAAACACATCAGTTAAACAATGCAGCATCCATCTTTTTAAAAACTCCTTTATCAGTAGCCAGTCAAAATTTGAAGATCTTTGCCTGCTGGCAGAAGGACAATAGGGAGGAGAATTCTGCCATCCAAGAGCAGCCGTTCAGGAACCCGGTTCTCATACAAAGATTTGTTTGTAATGACAGACCCTTGGGCCTCCCCAATTCAATTCAAGTGGGGGTGGACAAAATGGAGCCTAACGGTCCATAGCATCTGCCCACCAGTGACTTACCGCAGTGGGTCCCAATCTTGGGTCCCCAGGGAGTGGTGAAAGCTTCTGGGAGTCTTAGTCGAAGAACATCCGGGTTGGAGAACCACAGACATACGGGAACAGGAGCTGGTTTAGTACACAGAAAAGAACGTCGTTTTGGAGGGGGCCGCCGTGTTCGTCTGTGCAAGCGTATCGGGCAAAATCCAAAGAAACAAAACACAGACAAAAACATGGTACCTTAAAGACTGACTATTATATTTTAATGTAAGCTTTCGCGGAAAAATCCAAAGAAACAAAACATAGACAAAAACGTGGTATATTTTAATGTAAGTTTTTGCGGATGTCTTCTTTTTTTGTTTTGTTTCTTTGGATTTTGCCAGGAAAGGGCATGCCGATGAGATGATACCCAATTTGTCAGGAAAAGCTGCCAAGGGAATATTAGTTTACCTGTGAAGGCAGTTGTTGCTTGGTTCCTGGGGCGCTTCGTCCCAATACAGAGTGATATTTTGGAAAGCCCGTTGCACCTGATCCTTCTCTGATTCCCATCCTTTTTTTGGTACGTCTGTCTCTCCTCCTCCTAGTTCATCTCTGGCGCCATGGCGGCTCTCAGCGCTATGATATCCTTGGAGATTCCCCAGGTCAACATCATGACGAAGATGGACTTGCTGAGCAAAAAAGCAAAGGCAGAAATTGAAAAGTAAGCCTGCGGGAAGAACAGCACTCTGTGTTGATAACAGTACGTGAGGGGTCAAATTCACCTGCTCGGCCATTGAGTTTATTTTTCTAGCTTGGGTGTTGGGGAACCCTTGGAACATTCATACGTGAGGGGTCAAATTCACCTGCTCGGCTGCTTGCCATTGGGTTTATTTTTTTAGCTTGGGTGTTGGGGAACCCTTGGACTACAACCTCCAGAATCCTTCAACCAGCATAGTTAGTAAGGGATTCTGGGAACTATGTTTATTTAAAATGATTTTACCCCTCCTTTCTCCTTAAAAAGGATGGCTTACATCCTTGAAAGACAATGTTAACGCTGAAAACAGTTATACAACAGTGGTTTATGTTATTAAAAGATATTTGGAGCTAAGAACAGTGAGTATAAAGAGTTAGTTTTTTTAAAAAAACAACACTTTTTCTAAATTATCACATTCTCTGCATGAAACATGCCTTTTTATTTTCCGCGTGTGGATAATCACATTTCTGCCAAAGCCGTTAAAGGTAGATTACAATTTTAAAATAGCTCTGGACTATCCGTTAGATAATACAGAAATATGAAGCATTTTGTTTACGTGAAGCCTTAAATATAAAACACTGTCAATGTAAAGGCATGTCGTTATTTTAAATCATATGCAACTCCTTCTAGGTATCTGGATCCTGACATGTATTCTGCAATGGAAGATTCTACAGATTTACTCAAAACCAAACAGTTTAAGAAACTGACGAAAGCCATCTGTGGTTTGGTAAGTTTTTTCGTTGAGTTTTGACAGTTTTAAAAGTTTTTAATCATTCAGTGTATTTTGAGATTTACTCAAAACCAAACAGTTTAAGAAGCTGACCAAAGCCATCTGTGGTTTAGTAAGTGAATGCCTGTTTTTTAGTTGAGTTTTGACAGTTTTTAAATTTTTTTAATCATTCAGTGTATTTTAATTACTATTATACTTTAGTTGTATCAAGATTTATGCAGATTTTTAAATGCAATCTGCGATTAATGTGTGTTTGGCTAAGTGCACTGTCCCGGCATCTAATTGCAGGCTTTCTCTTTATATTTATTGCCTTTGTTTTTAAAGATTGATGACTACAGCATGGTTCGCTTCCTGCCTTTTGACCGCTCAGACGAGGAGAGCATCAACATTGTACTGCAGCACATAGATTTCGCCATTCAGTACGGAGAGGATCTGGAATTTAAAGAGCCAAAGGTGAGGAAGTTCAAACGCACCATTTTAGGCAAGGCTGTTTTATGTGTTGAAAGGATGCAAGTATAATCCTTTAAAAGAATTCTTAACAAAGCCCATGGAATGTTTGCAAAGACAGTCAGATTGAAGGCCATGCGGGGCAAACCTGGATTTGCCCCATAGTGCAAATTTATGTGTGCCTATTCAGAAAAAAATGTTTCACTGGCCAGTTTCCTATTGCTAGTCGCAACTAGAGTAAACCCATTGGCTCAACTGAACAGTAAATCAGTTCCTGTGTAAGTCCCATTAAGTTAGTGGGTCTACTCTAACAGGGACTTGAAATAAAACATTACTGACCACAGTAATCAAGGGATGCATCTCTTAGCTGAACTCACGCAAGAGTCTAAATGAATGAACCAGAATCATAGCTCTTATCAAACTGGAGTACCTGCTGTTTTGGATTTTGATTTTTCGGTGAGGAGTGCAGTTGCGACATGATTTCCCTTGCGGACAGAGTTGGGTTATGAATCTTGGATCATTGTATGATCTTGAAAAACTCAAATGTATATATATATGTGTTCTTTCCAATAGGAAACGGAGGAAGACAAATCTTCAGCTTTTGATGAATATTTCCAAGATCGAGTAGATGAATGAATGAAGACATGGGAGTCTGTTTTGTCAAAATGAAACAAAAATGCTTAGGTTTTTCTAGGCAGTGTATATTAAAACGCACCATCTGATGGATGTATCTGCTGGAAATTGAACTATGGACTTTTCCCCCCTCCACAAAGAATTAATGTATATAATTGGTCGATTCCACAGAGAAGTAAATTATTGAATTACATCTTTATTGTGCCATCAAGGAAAACATATTTCTTTGAAAGTGTTATTTGTGTGTGTCTGCTCATTTCAACAGCTGGAATTAATAAATACAGAGTGTTTATTTAAATTTACTGTCCCTCAATATTTCACTCTTCATGCACTCATTCATCAGAAGCCACTCAATTTCAACTTCAGAAATATATATTTCTAGGATTTTTCTTTTAATCTTTTTAGACCATGGATACTGATCCTGTGGATTGGGAGGGGTGCTGTATTCATACGCTTCAGGCAGCGTTCTGCAATCTGTGTCTTCCAGCTGTGCTAGGCAACTTAAGCCCAAACAAGACTTCTCCAGACATCCCATCGTTCTCCACAATCTGGCACCCCCCACCCACCCCTTCTTGGGTAAAAATGTTGTTACCTTGAGCTCTGTTAGCTAACTGGGGAGGATGCTAGGAGAAAGTCCAGAGGACCAGAGCTTCGGCTGCTATTCTCGGTGACTGCATGATGGGCTGGGGCTGATGGAAGCTGTAGTCCGCCACAGACAGCAGTACAGTTTGAAGAAAAGTTGGCCTCCTAGGATTTCAAACAGCTGCTCCCCGGCAAGTTCTGGTGACCTCCCTGGGGTTTGCTTACCAAAGAAACAAGCATATATCCCCAGAGCTGCTGCTTTCACCCACCCACGTTTTCCTGGCACAATTTACAGCCAGCCATTCAACAGGCGCAGTTCCAAAATCTTTCCAAGATCCTCCATGCACCAAAGACTGCATCTTTAGGGGAGGGGAAAAAAAGGAGAGTGCCGTCATCCTGCAGAAAAGCACTGCCTGTTGAACTTCTGCCTGTCGTCTCTTGCAAGCACAGGCTCCCACCGTGATCAACACATTCTCTAATTGCTAACCCGATCAAAGGGGCGGTTTCGGGCGCCTTTCGCTTCGGCTGCCCCCTGGCGGCCACTCTCGGCTATAGCGCCCTCCCGCTCGCTCGCACTTCCTGCCTGATTTCAGCAACCCATTTTGGGTGGAACAGGAAGAGGGTTTTTTTGCTGCTGCTGCTTCTTTTTTTTGCCATTTGCAAAATTGCTCAGCCTTCCTCGCTTGGGAAGGAGATTTTTCTTCCGATTTCCGTTGGATTGCTGCCCCCCCCACCCCAAAAGATGCCGGTAAGAGGGGAGGGAAAGAGACCCGCGTTGCGTTTGGGTGTTGCAATCAATTTCCTTACTAAAAATGGAATATATTCATTTTTTAAGAGAAAAGACAGGGAAGCTTCCGTGGAGCGGAGAAGGCAAGGGCTTGGCATGAATCTCCTGGTTTCCTAGCTGGGCTCGCAAGCGCCTTTTTCCAACTGCTAAAGCTTAGGATGATGACTTTTTAAAAACACCCAAATCTATCTTGTTATTTTCGGCTTGCAATTTTCCGGGCCGCTTTTCGCAACTGGGTGGTGCCTTCCAGGTGGTTTGGATGACTACGACTTGGGGCGGGGGATAATGGGATCTCTAGTCCAACAGAGATCTGAAAGGCAGTCCGCTTCCAGCACCTGATTTCAGGTTTCTGCCCCTGGGATAAGCCGGGGTGGAGAAGGTGGGAAAAGCGGCCAGCCATGGTGGAAGAAAAGGGAACTTCCTTCTTTGGCTGGAGAGCTGTGGGCCCCCAGAGAGGATGATGACTTTTTAAAAAAACAAACAAGAAGGGGGGAAAGGCGGCCAGCCATGGTGGAAGAAAAGGGAACTTCCTTATTTGGCTGGAGAGCTGTGGAGCCCCAGAGGGTGCTTATTTGGACTACAACTCCCAGAAGCCTTCTCCCCTCGCTGTGCTGGCTGGGACCTCTGGGAGTTGCAGTCCAGAAACATCTGGGGACACCCAAGGGTGGGCACCGCTGGTGGAGAGAGCTTTTTAAAACCCTGCTTTAGGATATACAGTGGTGCCTCGCTAGACGATGATAATCCGTTCCACTGAAATTGCTGTTTAGCAAAATCATTGTCTAGCGAAAAGCATTTCCCCATTGGAATGCATTGAAACCTGTTTAATGCATTCCAATGGGGAAGAATCGTCGTTGTCTAGCGAAGATCGGCCATAGGAAATATACCCCATCCTTTCTCACAGGAGCAACATAAAAATACGGTACAGTGGTGCCTCGCTTGACGATGTTAATTCATTCCAGCGAAATCACCATAGAGCGAAAATGTCGTTAAGCAAAATAAAAAAGCCCATTGAAATGCATTGAAAACTGATCACAAAAACATTGTCGTGAAGCGGATTCGTCGTTATACGGGGTAGTCGTTAAGCAGGGCACGACTGTATTAAAGTCAGATTCTGAGTATCTAAAAGACTAGATGACCTGTGTTTGATGGGGAACTACAGCACACACTAATGCAAACTAGCAGCCCCAGAAGACAAATAAAACACATGCTTATTTTCTGGTATGTTTCTAACTGATGGCTAAAAACATCTGGGAGGAGAACCGAAGTCTCTAACGGAAGGGAGTTCTGAAACCAAGGGGCCACCACGGAGAAAGCCACGCCACGTGGGGTGAGCCTGGCTTCTGCTGATAGTGAGACAACTGGAAACAGGAGAGGCTGCATTTTAAACTCTTTACAACTTTTGTTTGCGAAATAAATTAAATAGAGACCCTTCTTCTTTACAGGCCTATCATTCTACCTTGATGGACCCCGACACGAAGCTGATTGGGAACATGGCTTTGTTGCCTATTAAGAGTCAGTTTAAAGGACCGGCACCCCGGGAAAGTAAGTTTGCAACCCAGACTTTCTCAAAAGCCGTTTGGTGGCATCCTTCTGCATTTATTGATTTAAGCAGAAATGTGCTTGGCTTCATCCAGGTTAAAAAAAGTCCAGCCCCTGCCAAGGAAGTCCTGTGGGGGAATCAAACTCTCAACCTGAGCTGGGTTCAAGCAGAAGCATCCTGGAGTGATCCAAGAGCTATGAATGTTTTAAAAACCCTTATTTCCTTCCATATTATTTGCTCACAGAACGTGCTTCTTCTTTCCTTGGCAGCAAAAGATATGGACATCATCGATGAAGCCATCTGCTACTTCAAAGCGAACGTCTTCTTCAAAAATTATGAAATCAAGGTAGATGTGGCACGGTCTGTTTTTCACCGTGGCTTCTGGTTTGCAGGAAAGAAACTGCGGAGTTTCAACCTGACACCCTCCAGATATATTGGATTACAAATTCCATCATCCCCACTTAGAGAGAACTAGGCGAGGGAAAGTTGAGTTCAGCCCTTTCCAAATAGAGTCTCCCAGTGATGGGGAATTGTTGTACATGACCGGTGCACAGGTCTCTGTGGGTGGGTGCTGAGCAAGTGAACTAGGCAATGCATATGGACGGGTGGGTTTAGGATGGAGAGCTTAAATTTCCCCTATGAACTGGTTTTATTTCTTTCGTTGCAATTAGAACGAGGCGGACAGGACGCTGATCTATGTGACGCTGTACATTTCAGAGTGCTTGAAGAAGCTGCAGAAGGTAAGAGCATTAAACCTTCAGCCTGGGACTCCAAATTATTGTTGATTTTTTTGCCCGTTTTTAACGTGGGGATGGTTTTCAGGGTATCCTTTCACTGTCTTCCATTGCTTCTAAAGCTCACGTTTCCTTTTTGCCTCCAGTGTAATTCCAAAGGCCAAGGAGAAAAAGAAATGTATACCTTAGGAATCACAAATTTCCCTATCCCCGGAGAGCCGGGATTCCCGCTGAATGCGCTCTACGCTAGACCTGCAAACAAGCAGGAAGAAGGTAAGGGGTGTGTGTGTCTCGGTGAGGGCTGCAGACTTGAATCAATGGGTTCATTGACCAACAGGCCATTTTTAAAAAATGTTTTGTTTGGAAGCTAATCCTCAAGAAATATGCATAGAGTTGGAACCTTTCTTGTGGTGCATCTACAGTAGTACACAAGGCAAGCTGCTGCCACTATCATTTCTCTGCAATGTCCATTTTCATTGCAAGCGCCCCTTCCTTCTGTATTGCATGCACATGATCCGATCTATATGGGTGTAAACATCCCGGTGGGTCTCGGGCTCATTCACTTTCACAAAACGAGCAGCTGTGTGTGTGTAGAAGGACATGCAGCTCAGCTTAATAAAAATATAATAATCATGCCATCAAGTCAGTTCTAACTTACAGCAACCCTTTTCAGGTAAAAATACTCTGAAATGGTTTCCTGTTCCCGTCTTCTGGGGTGCCCTGGGATTGTGCAGTTTACCCAAAGCTACCCAGGCTGGTCCAGTGGGGGGAATCGACCGCCCAACCTCTGGCTCTGCCAGAGACCTAAACCAGTAAGCTATCCAGCCAGCTCACAGCTCTGCTTCCTCCATCAGATTGGGCCGCAAAACGAGCCGTTTGGGTCTGACACTGATCGAAGTGTACTAAATGGGAGCAGTATCGTCCCAGTTCATTTGGAGTATTGCCAGGCAGAGCATTGATTTATTCACTTTTCCCCAACAGAGGACATTCCCCTTATCATACAGGAAACTTTCTAAAGAAGGGAAGGGACACTGCCTCCTTAACCCTAGGGCCAGCTACCGAAATAAGACGTAGGGCGTTTTTAAAAAAAGGCACTAGTAGAGAACAGAAGGGAAATAATTTAAAATTGTTTGGTTGAAGGCAGAGCTAAACTCCGGTCTCAGCCGATTGTACTTCTTTCTTTTAAGAGGTGATGAGGGCGTACCTGCAGCAGCTGAGACAAGAAACCGGCCTGAGGCTTTGTGAAAAAGTCTTCGATCCCCAGAGTGACAAACCTAGCAAGGTAAGGGGTTGATCTCACCCTGGGGTTGGGGTGGGTTTAAAGCTAATCGGGCTGCAGAAGTGCTTCCTTTATCTTCAGAATAAACAGGAGCATTTTCTAAATTACATCCATATTCCATTAGAAGGGTATAAAAAGTTGTGTATTTGGCATTGAACAGCATACCTTGATAACATGTCTCAGAGCTTGAACTGAGGAATGTAACAGCCTCTCTTGTTTCACAAAAAGAAATTGTTTCTTTAGTATGTGGTCTTTCTGTATATTCATGTAAATTTATGCTGAGATGGAGAGGATGTTTTTTTTGGACTACGATTCCCAGAATGCCCACTAGCTAGTATAAACTAATCAAAAATGTAACATTCCCAAGCTCTGGAAAATGAAAAAGGGACTCCCTGCCTGCTTGGTTGATTTTCTATATTTTGTTTTCCTTTGGCCTTCTAGTGGTGGACCTGTTTTGTGAAGCGACAGTTCATGAACAAGAGCCTGTCGGGCCCGGGGCAGTGAAGAAAAGAAGAGGATAGTTTGTCGAAGCACTTTGGTGCCAGATGTATAAAATTTTGCCTCTGTTTTAATATAAGTTTTGTATTGAAAGAAAAAATTGTGTTTCTGTGGGGAAAACGCCTCTAATGGAAGGAAAGGTGGAGCTTAAAATCATGTGTAAACCTTGTTGAGCTGGAGCTCAGCAAGGAGAGTGGATGAAGAAAATAAAAAATGGTTTCTAACCTTGTTTCGTCTCTACTTCCCTCTGACAGCTGTTCTGTCCCGCTCATAATCTAAGAGGCGTCTAAAAATGCATCTAAACTAAGAACGGTTGGAGCAGTTGGCAACCACCTGCTTTTAGCTTCGTGGAAGCACAACAGCTTGTCTATCCCTGCTTTGCGACTGACGATGTTTTACTTCCTACTGTTAGGAAGTATCCTGGAGACCCTCTGAAGCAAACTGGGGGCTCCCTTAATGAGAAAATCTGTGATAGCAAAGGAGCTTTCCTAGGAGAGAAAAATTACCCCATGAGAGAGGTAATCTTCCATGTGGGAAAGTTCCCACTCGATCCACCGGGACCCCAACGGCCAGGGCCCATGCAACCAGTGTTACAGGTTTCGGGAAACCTCAAAGTGCTCACAAGCAACAGGCGGGCAGTTTTTTGAAAAGACAAGGTCTCAAGATGTCTTGAATTTGCAATAAATAAATTACATAAATAAAAAGACTGCAGTCACTGCCTTTTAAAGAGATGCAAAACATGTCAAACTGCACACCACAGGGATTCTGGGTCCACTTCCTATTTCGCCATGTACGGCTACTCAGGATTGCACCCCATTCAATGCAATGAGATTTACTCTCAAGCCACTTACAGTGCAGAATTGCAACCTTAACATGCATGGTTTAACAACGTTTAGGGCTAAGAGGCTGAAGAGTAATCCATACACAACACCCCAAACCGAGAATATTCCAGTCTTTATGAGACCTTCGGGTAGTGTGGGCGGCATATAAATTAGTTAAATAAATAAAATCCATGCTGTCAGCTGGCAAGACTTCTTAAAAAGAGGCACCGGGAGCTTACTGCGCATGCTCAGGTCTCCCTCCCTTCTCCAGGGTCCTCTTGTCACCTCGTCGTGCCTACACCAGTGCCTAATTTTTTAAAAACACAAACCTTTCTAAGGACTTGACACCGTTTTGAAAAATCAAAACCTGAGGTAGAATAATTTTCTCTCAGGAAAATAATATTTTCCTCAATGGAAAAAAGAAGAGAGAGAAAAAAACGAAAACAAAAGACAGGCAGCGCTTCCGCCGGCCCCGTTCGGGCGGCGGTCCCGCCCTGCCATCATGGCCGCTTTCACGGCGAGGACCCCTCCGAGGGCC